ACCGAGCCGGCCAAGATCGAGAGCGAGTCGGATTGGCATGGGCCCCAGGGCGGTCGAGGCGGAGCCCTTCGAATCAGCATCACAATGCCCCGAGCGATGTCGGTGTCCATGAAAGGCATCTCGTCGCGAACGGCACTGATGCACTTGTTCAAGTCGTCTTCCCGGTCTCCAAACCTGGCATGTGGTTTCGCCGCGGCGGCACTGTGCGACTACGTCTTCCACTGCTGGCGTACATCCCGTACCCGTATCCGTTTCCGCACTTGGGAAGGGGAGTATTACACGCGCCTGCCTTTCATCTACCTACAGCGCTCGCGAGGCGGACATGTACGGAAATCGGCCTCATAGTGACACCTCATCTTCCAACTGTGAAGGCCCTGCCCCATCCTGGCCTTCGTATCTCGACTGCCGCTCCAGTCGTCTGGCAGAGAGTCTTGCGCAATCACCTTGCTGGCGTTCCGCCCACTCGGACAACCAGGGAGCCAGATCAGCCAGGCACGGGCTAACTAGGCCGCTGGGCAACTGACCACGCGAACAGCCTGAGCAAGCACCCAGGGGAACTCAGACACCCGCCCAAAGAAGCCAACGCAGACGCCCACGGAAGTACCGAGTCAAGCAAGTTCGAAGCAAGAATCCACTGGTCAAGTCACCCTGGACGACCGCCTTACTCCACAAGCGCGACAGCACAGGCATTCGTCGTCGACCCCCCTCTTCCGCTCCTGCCTCACGAGGGCGAGAGCTGTGGGCATACTCGGAGAGGAAGGGACAAAGAAAGAGAGAGGGGAGGGACACGAGGAGGGGGGAGGGAGGGGAAAGGGGGAAGGGGGCACTCGATGAGGAGCGACAACGCGTTGGCAACGGCATGAGGGGGGATTGGCACAGGAAGGGGAAGCGCCGACCTGGAAAGGGCGATACAGCGCCGACAGATATCGGCGATCGGCCCCCGACAGCGGCACCGCACGCTCCCGGGCAAGGCGGGGCCGTCGGGACCCTGCCGGCGATCCGCGGGCGACAGGGGGGGTCGACGCGATGCCCCCCCTGAGCCGATCCCGCCCGATCGCTGCCCCTTGGGAAAAAAGAGGGCTAGCACGTGGTCTGGTAGGCAGTCAGACAGCCCAGGGGCTGGCATGACGTGTGTTCGCCAGGGAGCCTCGTCGAGCATCTGGGGAGCAAGAGCTTCTGTGCACATGCAGTGCGCACCCCTGAGCTAGCCACCCCTGTTGCAGCCAGCGAGTCAGGGGCAATGACATTGGTTGGCGGTGCGCACAAGGGGGTGGAGGGAGGGGGGAGGGCTTCTTAGCAGGAGGCTGCTTCTCAGAAGGCGCCGGCCTTACATGTGTAGATGAGGCCCGCGCCTTCGAAAAAAGCAGGGGTGCTTCTAAGAAGCCCTCCCCCCTCCCCCCACCCCCCTCTGCGCGTGGCTGACAAACAACGGAACCAGAGACAGCCTGGGAACGGAAGACAAGCGAGCACTGGCCGGCGACAGGCAGAAGGGCGGCGCGGAGCCGCCAAAACGGGCAGCCACCCAGGCCACCGGCGAGGGCCAGGGACCCCGTGGGGACAGCTCGGTGGCAACTCATGGGTTGCAAATGCGAGTGTTGCAAACAGGGGCATGCACTGACGGCTGATGTCAACTTGCCTCCCCATGCTGACCTGAATCCACGGAGCGATTGAACCAACCGCCCCACAGAATTCTGGATGCAAGTTCTCTCACGCTGGCACCTTCGGTGGCAAATCATGGGAGCCTCCCATGCCATCTTGCTGGCTCTTGCGAATCGCCGCTGTCCAGCGCTAATCGACGCCCATCGACGCCGAATCGACGCTCGGCAGCGCTGATGGACGCTGAATCGGCGCTGTCTCATCGAGTGCCAGACGCTAGCGCGCGCGGATGCGCTCTAAAAACTGGAGGCTGGAGACTGGAGACCATCCTGTGTCGTCCCAGCTTAAGTCGGGCGCGTCCCCTTACAGGCGGATTTGGGACGATCAATAAAAAACGCTAAAAATATCAAAAAGTAGTTTAAAATAATCGTCCCCATACTATTTCCTAATTATTTTTGAATATTCCTCCTGTAGAGGGACGTGCCCGACTTACCACTGGAGACTGTGCCCGTGACGTTCCAGCGGGACGGCCCTGCGCGGGGCTAGGCGGTGGCGCCGGGGCGCCCGCTCCACTCCAGCGTCGCATGTTATCGCACTCTGGTCAAGTCAGTCAGTACCCCGTGGTTGTGTCGCTCTGCTGGTCGCCTTGTGCGGGACACGTACGAACCTTCCAGATTGTTGGAGGCCTAGAAGTGGGCACCAACACCAACACAGGCGGGTGCCTCCACATGGGGAAGATGATCCTAGATTTCGGTGCTGGTGGCAATGCTTCGGTCACGTTGGAAACCAAAAATATTACAACCATCACCGAGATCGGGATCTTCTTCCCTCGGTGGAGGCACACCACCGATATTGGTGTTGGTGTCAACCTCTAGGCCTCCGATATTTGCCAATATTCCGAAATCTGGTACAACTGGATCCCACTCCTTTGCAAACGTCTTGCGAACAAAAGATCTGCCATGTCGTCCACTTCCCCCGTTTGCACGGTCGGTGTGGCAGGCGCTTCGCGTTTGCACGTGTAGACTGTGGATCCCACACGAGAACCTGTCGGCTCAACTTGCCGAGGTCGTCGTACACCACTGCAGCTGTCGACCTCCACCGCGACTGCGTACCCAAGTTCGGCACAATGTCTTTCAATGTGCTTGGTCGCGCGCCGAATACAATCGCGCTATGGCTCCTATGTATGCTTTGGGGAGCTCGGGCTCGATAACGACGTGGTGCCGCTTTCAGCAGAGTCGGCGTCGTTGTTACTGCTGCTACTGCTGCCAGTCGTGCCGTTGTTGCGTCTACCAGAGTCGCTGTTCGAAACTGCACTCCAAAGACGGAAATACGAAGGCATACAAGGCTCCCATGATTTGCTACCGAGGGACAGTGCTGGCGAGGCCCAGAGGGACGGCTGGGGACGGTGCGGGGCAATGCTGACGAGGGGAAGCGGCGGTGACAGACAGGCAGCACCAGGGGCGGTGGGAGGAGCTGAGCAGGGTCGGGCATCACGTCGGGCACACGGCCATCCAGAGGGATCGGCGGCAGCAGGAGGCGGCAGCCCCGGACAGTCGGCGCCAGAGGGCCGGGCCACAAGAGGAGATCGGCGGCAGCAGAGGGCACTCCGGGCTTCTCAACAAGCGTGGGGGGGGGGGCACCCCCCGACGGGAGTCAACCTCGCCTCGTCGTCGCGCCGCGGCGGGGGTCGGAGCGCCTTCGGCGCGCGGTGGCCGCCCGCGGCGGGGGTCGGTGCGGGGCTGTCGGCGGGTTGTGACGCCCCCCCGACGCGTACTCAGAAGCTCGGAGTGCGCAGCCCCAGGACGAGGGGCAGAGAGGAGGAGGATGAGGGAGGAGGAGGAGGAGGAAGCTGAGGAGGAGGAATGAGGATGAGGAGGAGGAGGCGGATGAGGAGGAGAAGGAGGAGGAGGAGGCGGAGGAGGAGGAGGAGGAGGAGAAGGAGGAGGAGGATGGCGAGGGGGCGGCAGACTGGGGCAGCAGATTGGGGGCCGAGGGCTGCTGGGGGGCAGGGCGGTCACGGGAGAGCACGGCAGCAACGAGAGGCAATCACCAGAGGCAGGGAGCGGCCAGGAGGGAGGAGGGGAGGGGAGAAGAGGAGGAGGAGGGTGGGAAGTGGAGAGAAGGGGGAGAAAGGGAGAGGGGAACAGCAAAGGGAGCAGGGGGAAGGGCGAAGAGGAAGGGTGAAGAAGGAAGGGGGCGGGGAAGGGCAAGGAGGAAGAGGGAAGGTGGAAGGGGAGGGACAGAGGGACGGTGCAAGGAAAAGAGAGCGGGGGAAGGGCGAAGGGGAAGAGGGAAGGGAGAAGGAAAAGGGAAGAGGGACACGGACAAGGGCGAGAAGGGGGAGGGTAAGGCGGGAGGGTAGGCAGGAGAGCAGGAGTGAGGGAGGACGGGAGTGAGGAAGTGACGGAGTGAGGAAGTAAAGGAGTGAAGGCAGTGAGGGCGAGAGGGAGTTAGGGAGTGAATGGGAGGGAAAGGGATAAAGAGAGAAAGAGAGAAAGAGAGCGGAAGAGGGAGAGAGAGAGAGGGGGGAAGAGAGAGAGAGGGGGTGGAATAGAGAGAGAGGGGGGGGAAACAAAAAAAGAGAGAAACCACATAATACGAACAATAATAATAATAAACAAACAATAACGAGAGAGAGAGAGAGAGAGAATATATATAATGATAGGGAGAGGGAGAAGGAGAGGGAAGGAAGAGGGAGAGGTAGAGGGAGTGGAAGAGAGAGGAAGAGGATAAGGAAAAGGTGTTTGGATGCAAGAGACGGGTAGTGGGGGCTAGGAGTGAGGAATGGTGTGTGCTGAGGAGAGGGGCACGAGGGAAGACGGATCAAAGATGGAACGATGGCACACCCTTCGACGCGCGCGGCCGTGGGCTGAGAACAGGCTCCTCGGGACCAGGCGCGTGTTGATGAACGAGCTCGACCTGAGCGCGCGGCACCCTTCTAAAAGAGCTTGTGCCAAACCCGCTGGCGACATAGCAGGTCGTGACCAAACTTGTTCGGCGGCGAACGCAGGAAGGAAGTTAGAAGGGGCGGGCCTTCTCAGAAGACTCGGAAGGCCTCTGGCCTCCTGAGAAGTTCCCTGAACCTTCTCCGAAGACAAAGACGGCTTCTCAGAAGGCCAGAGGGCTTCTGAGAGGCGACCGCTAATTTCGCCGACGGCTGATTTCGCCGACGGCTGGTTTCGCCCGGCTGGTTTCGCCGCCCAGCGAAACCAGCTCCGTCGGCGAAACCAGCTCCGTCGGCGAAACCAGCTGCTGTTGGCGAAACCAGCTGCCGTCGGCGAAACCAGCTGCCGTCGGCGAAACTGCCCGACCCGACCCGCCCGTTAGGGTCCGCCCGCCCGACCCGACCCGCCCGTTAGGGTTCGCGCGAGCTCGGTCGAGCGCGCCCCACACCTTAATGCCCCGCCCGCCCGACCCGACCCGCCCGTTAGGGTCCGCCCGCCCGACCCGACCCGACCCGCCCGCTAGGGTCCCTCCGCCCGACCCGACCCGCCCGTTAGGGTTCACGTGAGCTCGGTCGAGGGCGCCTCACACTTTAATGCCCCGCCCGCCCGACCCCACCCGCCCGCTAAGGTCCGCCCGCCCGACCCTACCCGACCCGCCCGCTAGGGTCCGCCCGCTCGACCCGACCCACCGGTTAGGGTTCGCGCGAGCTCGGTCGAGCGCGCCCCACACTTTATGCCCGTCCGCCCGACCCAACCCGCCCGCTAGGGTCCGCCCGCCCGACCCGACCCGACCCGCCCGCTAGGGTCCGCCCGCCCGACCCGACCCGCCCGTTACGGCTCGCGTCGGCGAAACCAGCGCCGGCGAAACCAGCGGCCGGCGAAACCAGCGGCCGGCGAAACCAGCGCGGGCGAAACCAGCGCCGGCGAAACCAGCCGTCGGCGAAACCAGCGGGGCAAAACTAGCGCCGGCGAAACCAGCGCCGGCGAAACCAGCTCATGCCTTCTGAGAAGCCCCGCCGCCTTCTGAGAAGGCCTGCCCCCTCTGACTTTCCCCCCTGGCGCGCCGCCGAACTGTACTGCCTCGCGACATGTTGAACTCACGCTTGACCGAGCTACGACGCACCTTGCCAGGGAGACAGTGGAAAACCCAAGTGAGTGAAGTAGAACAGCGAAGCCACGGGGCAACGACTCGAGGAAGCATTTTCATCATCATCATCATCATCATCATCATCATCATCATCATCATCATCATCATCATCATCATCATCATCATCATCATCATCATCATCATCATCACATCATCATCATCATCATCATCATCATCATCATCATCATCATCATCATCATCATCATCATCATCGCATCATCATCATCATCATCATCATCATCATCATCATCATCATCATCATCATCATCATCATCATCATCATCATCATCGTCATCGTCATCATCATCATCATCATCATCAGCAGCAGCAGCATCATCGTCATCATCATCATCAGCATCATCATCACAATGGGTACACCACTTGATAAAATCATGGGTGGCCCCTCAAAGCGATGAGGCCACGAAGCCACGAATGTCTCCTGAAACATTCAGCCGGCATGGAAATGGATTCATATAATTGAACAAATCAACGTGTCGATCCGTATGACCTTCGACCTTAGCGCACTCCATCCTGGCGCTTGAGAGGCCAGATATCGCATCCCAGCTACGCGCATGATCGATTGAAAACCTGATGAGTTGCTTGAAGGTGAGACTGCCGCAGTGACACTGGGAGACAAGATTCAAGCGGTACGCGTTTGATTCAGTCCTAAATGCCCCTCATGCTATACTCCATAAAACGAAACAACATTACAACTGGCCTTTTGTTGACACTACGGGCCAGTTCCTGTTCATATCACTGGGTGATGCAAAACCTGGCTGGCCTTGCGTGAGACTTTCAGACTGACACCCGCATGCGCCCACTGCCAGATGCAAGGCACGCATAGTTGCAGAGACGAGTGTTGCAAATAGGGACATGCACTGACGGCTGATGTCAACCTGCCTCACCATATTGACATGAATACACGTAGCGATTGAACTAACCGTCCAAAGAATTCCAGATGCAAGTTCTCACACACTGGCACCTACGTTGGCAACTCATCGGAGCCTCCCATGCCATCTTGCTGGCCCTTGCGAATCGGCACTAAGCACCGCTAATCGACGCTAAGTGGACGCTCATCGACGCAAATCGACACTAAATGAACGTTCATCGACGCTAAACCGGAGATTACTCATCGATCACCAGACGCTAACGCACTCTCACGCACTCCAAAGATGGAATTACGAGGACATACAAGGCTCCCATGATGTGCTAACGAAGGCATGAAAACAAGCGCGTTCCACGACTCGCACAGTAACTACTCGCCAATGGCCAGGATCTGTCGTGAGGGACTTATGATCCATTACCTCGAGGTTGATATTCCTGACGTAAGCGAGTAGGCACTTTGCGAGCAGTGGAACGCACTCGGTGAGCACCTACCTTATGACAAGGACGCTGAGTGGCCCCACAGCACTGGAAGCAGTGACGAGAGCTGCATGAAGCTTGGGTCGCCCTCCCGGCAGAAGCTGTGCAGCAAAGTCGACTTGCCGGCGTTCTGGTCGCCGAGCAGCAGGAAGCTCCGGAAGGCGCACCTGGCTCGCTGCAGTTCGGCGACGAAAGACCACCGCGACCTTACGCCGCGGCTTCCGCGGGCCGCCAGCGCGGCACGCTACACTGGGTGCGAGGGCGCTCACGAGCGGCCTCTCGCGGGCAGCTTACGCGCGAACGTCGGCGCAGGAGGCCCAGTATTTCTGTGTCGCCCATTTGGCGACAGGGTTCCTTGTCATGACGAGCCTACGGAGGAAGCTGGCGGAGGAAGTCGTCAAGGAGACAGAGGAAGAGCGCAAGGAAAAGGAGGCGAGAGAGCGGAGCAAGCAGGAAGGAGAAGGCAGAAATGATAGCATTGAAAAACGTAAGGTATGTAGACTAGAAAAGACCCTTTCCTCGCCACGTCCAGTTGCATCCACTGCCTCCCCCGCTCCCTTGTAAAAAACTGTGGGTCCACGTTCCAAAGGCCACGATCCGTCGAAACAAAAACTGTAACGCCGCGCTCACGAGCTCACGAGCCCTTCAAAGAAAACACCAAAGCAAAAATCCCCAGCAGAGTTCGGCCCTCGGGGGCTGTTTCCAGCGGGACGACGAACTCCCTCCAGAGAAGCCCCCATGGACCTCTGGGGGCCACGGATTGAGCAGCGAAGGCGAAGAGCCATGTCGAGGAGGAGGTCGGCCATAGGCGACAGGGGCGAGCGCACGGCCGTGTGCACCCTGGTGCGTCTTTACAAAAATGAAGGGGCCCTGGGACACACAAATAAATACACACAAATAAAAAGATTGCCCATATTTTCCCATATTTTCTGGGTCGTGGCCGCCCAGCCGACAAAAAAAGCGCCCCTTGGGAGTCCCGAAACGGTGCGGCGACAGGCCGTGCGGTGGCCTCGAGATCCCCCCGGCCCTCGCCGCACGGTCCGTCAAGGCAGGGTCTTGGGACCTCGGATGCCCCAGTCGCCCGAGAGGTCCCCAGAGAACGACCCGCATCCCAAAACCGTGCGGTGACCCCGAATCCCCACCGACTCAAGACACGGCGTGGCCACCACCCCGTTTGGGGGCCCCCGAAGCCTGCCCCCACACTGCCCCAGGCAACCAGAGCCGGCAACCAAGGCTGCCAAGATGGCCTCAAGTCGGCCCACGAGGCCCCCAAGACGGTCCAGGAGGGCCACAAAAGGACCCCCAAAGGGCACGAAGAAGCCAAAAGGATTGATTTTCCTGCAAACTGCTTCAACAATGTTTAAATATTTACCTTGTCGGGCTGACTTCAGCTCCAGACGGCCCCAAAGGCATCTGAAATGGCCCCAAGACGACCTAAGAGGGCCCACCTAATGGCCCAAGCGAATTACAAGATGGCCTCAGGACGGCCCCAGATGGCAAGAGAGCCCAAAGCTGGCCCAAGTGGGCGTCCAGAGGGACCCAAGACGGCCTCAGAGGGACCTTCGACAGCCCAACACGGCCCCACACCGGCACTACGAGACCTCCCAGACGGCCCAGGAGGACTCCTGCACGACCCAAGAGAGCCTCAAGCAAGACGGCCCAAGAAGGCTCCAAAACGGCCCAAACGGTGTTCTGACCATTAGACCAACAGTCAACGCACAGTGTACCTTCAATGCCGCTCGACTCACACTACTACAGCCCCACGTCGCCCCTCGAACGATCGCTTCCGAGAGGACTGGGCTGGCACGCGGGCGGGAATAGCATCAGCCAACTGGAAACAGAAGAATAAGAATGAAAGAGAGACTGGCACAAAAAAAGGCAACGGCTGTTACGAAATAAGAGACTGGAGAAAAGATCCAGGAGACAAGAAACAAGAAACAGCATATGGTCTCAAGGAAAACGGAAAAATCAAACTGTGATATTGAGCCGAGTGCGGCAAAGAAAAAAGAGTCATATTCACAGAAGAACAGAGAAATCCGCCACCGTGCCGCCGGGCACAGAGCGGGCGTGTCCTCAGGTCCTGAGCCCAGGAGCCTCAGGTGGAGCTCCCCATGGGGCCACGAAACGTGTGGCGGGTGTGCTGAGATGGCTGGGGCCTTCGGTAGAGCTCCCTATGGGGCCACGAAACGTGTGACGTGTGTGCCGAAACGGGCGCGGCGGTGCCGTGCGGGCGCTGCCACTGGGCCCTAGGTGGAGCTCCTTATAGCGTCGCGAAACGTGTGAGGGGTTGTGCTGAAATACGCGCGGCGGTGCCGTGCGGGCGCTGCCACTGGGGCCTCCGGTGGAGTTCCCTGTGGGCTACGAAACATGTGACGCGTGTACCGAAACAGGCGCGGCGGTGCCATGCGGGCGCTGCCACTGGGGCCTTCGGTGGAGCTCCCCATGGGGCCACGACACGCATGAGGGATGTGCAGAGATGGGCGCGGCGGCGCCATGCGGGCGCTTTCACTGGAGCCTTCGGTGGAGTTCTCTATGGGGGCAAGAAACGTGTGAAGGAGGGTGCCGAGATGCGCATGCGGAGGGCAGAGGCAGGAATGGGGGGAGGGGGGAGGAGGAGTGAGGAGGAGTGAGGAGGAGGAGGAGGAGGAGGAGGAGGAGGAGGAGGAGGAGGAGGAGGAGGAGTAGGAGGACGCGGGGCGATGCTGATTCAAAACGACGACTCAATTCAGCACAGGATGGTTAATAAAAATCAATGTCGAGCCTCGGTCCCACAAACCTCTCAGCCCCTTCCTTTTGGTCAGCTTTTCGTCCCGAGCCGACTTGTCACCGCCCTGGGGCCCGAAACCTGCCCCCTGAAGCCGAAAACTCTGGATGACCTTATGGACCCAAGATTTTCTAGCCTCCAGAGGTCCGGGTGGAAAGAGAGATTAATGGATGAAGACGGGAGGCGGGCTGGTAGGTGCCACAGGGGTACGCAGGACGCAGGACGTAAGCCGCGCGTCCTTGCCAGCTGGAGGCCTGCAAACCCCTCAACGGGCTTGCGCGGGCGGGCCGGGACCCGTTCAGGTATGCGCGCGCACGACGCGCGACGTAATGCGCTTCCAGGCTGCTCCGCGTTTCGTCGCCAACGATATCCCACCCCATCAATCTCGGTAGGCACACCCAGTGGGGCCATGCGAAGATTGGCGGCGCGCACAAGGGTGTGGAGGAAGAAGGAGGGCTTCTTAGAAGGAGGCTGCTTCTTAAAGGTGCCGGCCTTACATCTGTAGATAAGGCCCGCGCCTGCTTAGCAGCAGGGGTGCTTCTAAGAAGCCATCCCCCTTCCCCCCACCCCCCTCTGCGCGTGGCTGAGAAGAGGGTGGGGGGAAGGGGAGGGGGGCGCCGCCCCGACGCCCCAGGGGAAGCCGCGTCCCGCAGACCCCCCCCCTCCTGGGCACCCAGCGCCCAAGTCTGGCCGCGACAGCACCGTCTCCAGCTCCATCTCGGGCACCTCCTCCTCGGCGGGGGGGGATCATGAGAGGAGGAGATGGGGGGAGGAGGAGGGAGGAAGAGGTGGACAGGGGAGGAGGCAGGAGGGGAGAGGAGGGGGACGAGAAGGAGGGGGGACGAGGAGGAGGAGGCGGAGGAGGAGGAGGAGGAGGAGGAGGAGGAGGAGGGAGCAGGAGGAAAAGGAAAAAAGGGAGGAAGAGGAGGGAGGAAGCGAGGGAGGAGACAAGACGAGCCACGAAACCACAAGCAGGCCGCCGGTCGGAACCCGGCGCGAAATCGACGGGCTCCGCGCGCTGCCTGTGCAGCCCGACGTCGCCAGCAGCACGGCCGGCCTGCCGGGAGCCAGCCGCCCTGCCCCGCGCAGGCGGCGGCCTCCCGGGCGGGCGCAGCACTATGTAGAGACCAGCAGCAGCTCTGCGCCGCACCTCCTCGGGGACAGACCTCTGCGGGTCGAGCTCCGGCGCGCCCATAAAAAATGGTTGTAGTGACGGGGGAGGGAGGAGGAGTGGAAGGAGTCCAGCAGTGTCCGAAGTGCAAATGAAGACCTCTGTTCCCACACCTCCCACAGTCCCCACGATCGCCACGACGGCAAAGACTGCGGTCTGGCAGTTGCGACTACAGGAGGTCCACGACCACTTCGGGCCAAAAAAACCAAACCAGAAAAAAACATCAGGAAATCTTGAAACCAAAACCTGGGGAGGTCGACATCCTGAAAAAAAACTCAAGCACCAAACCCGCGGAAAACTCAAACCCACAAAAAACTTTGAAAAAAAACCTGAAACTCAAACCTGGGAAAAACGCAAACCAAACGAAAACTCCAGAAAATCTCTAAACCCAAACCTGGGAAAAACTGTTGAAAAACTCTCGGAAAACTTTGGAAAATCGCTGCTTTTATTTATATATATATATATATATATATATATATTAAAAATGAAAAAGTTCTGGAAAAACTCTGGAAAAACTCTAAACGACTGAAAAGTTTAAGAAACTCTGGAAAACTCTCAAAAACTGTAAACGCTTGAAAACTCTATACATAATATTAGATACATCTATATATATACACACACACAAAAACTTGAAACAAAACTCTGGAAAAAAACTGTTTTATACATGTATATATATACACATACATAAATACAGATATATACATATATATATAAACTGGGAAAATTATATTTTTTATTATGTATAAAAATGGAAACAAAACCTTCCGGGTTCGAGTTTTTTCCAGGTTTGAGCTTCACGTTGTTTCTAGGTTTTCTGTGGGTTTGAGTTTGTCCCAGGTTTCGGGTTCAAGATTTTCTGTAGTTTCTTCTGTGTTTGAGTTTTCCCCAGGTTTTGTGTTTGAGATTTTCTCAGGTTGTCTTGGATGTTGAGTTTCCCATTCAAGATTTTTTGATATGCTTTTGGATTCATGTTCCCGGCCGAAGATTGTTTGAAGATTTCGGCAGGTTTTCCTATGGACCGCCTGTAGTCAATTGCCGAACTTAAGCAAAGACAACGAGCCCATCACATTCCCTGAGATCGTGCTGAGGCAAAACATGGATGAACAATTACATGCATCAGTGGGTGGTCGGGATGTTTAACGTACGTCGAAACTTCTGGTCCTGAAGCCTGGAAGAACCCGACGCCACGAGGGTGAGGCGTGGGTCTGCTGAAAACAGAGGGCGGTGATAGCCCCTACATCACTCGTTTCACGTCTCACATCAAGGCCAATACAAGGCATGGTGGTGCCTGCACTCTGGGGCGCCAAGCTCGAAGGCGCAGCATGCAACATTCCACTGCCAGCACTGAACGACCTAGCTTCGCCATGAAAAGCGCTCGGATGTGATGAGTCCGTTAACTTATCTTACTGCCCAACTACCCCTCCAGAGGGTCCTGGGGCACTGCCCTGGGATCGGTTCCGCCTTCTTTATCTTAGTGATGTACTCCTGAAGACTGGGCCACAGCGTCCACGCACCTTCGAGATCCTGCAAGTTGAGGGACGCACTAAGAATCCCTTTCCGCACCATCTACGCATCGTCGCCATCCTTCGCAACCTGAGCCTTTCTGAACTGGCACTGCATCAGGAACAGTCCTAGCTCCTGGAGCGTTTGAACTTCCACGATCTTCTGCCAGAACTCCGACAGGGACTTGTGGCCTGCTGGATGTGGCGGCTTGACTGTAGCAATGAGGAGGCCGAAGGCGCGTTGGACGATCGCGATGAGCAGGGCGACGCGTGGCGGCACTCCGTCTTTCCAATCGATCTTTTTGCCTGTGAGGGAGGAGGAGGAGGAGGAGGAGGAACAGGAGGAGGAGAAGGAGGAACAGGAGGTGGATAAGGGGGTGGAACGGATAAAGGACGAGGGGTGAGGGACGAGCAAAGAGGGAGTCCTATGGACCCTGTGAAGTTGAAGGGCATTTGTGGAACCAGAATTGCTGCCTATTATGCTTGTCTTCTGGGGCCCAAACCGACCCGCTTGTGCACGCTGAAGCTATCACGCTAGCAGTTGTTCAGGTGCCATGATCAAAGATGGCGGCATGTCTGCGAACCTGGGCCGACGCGTCAGCGCACATTTCGCCTCTGCCACGCAACGGGATCAACGGAGGCGTCCAAAATGTGTGATCTCATCACCACTCTGATCATCACCTTCAGTTACATTACCACGATCACCATCATCACATCATTGGACGCTTCCATTCTAACAGCCCCCACGGGCGGAAGCTAAATGTGCTTGCAATGCTCCATCAACCAGCACTTACACAACCAGCTCATAAGCCACAGGGTCTCCAAGGCACCAACTCCCGAAGCGGCCAGATGAACCAGAAGACACTTGGGCTGTGCGCGCCGAAACCGATCTCGCTGCCACCGTGGGCGCCACACCTTTCGAGCTTTCGCCGAGGCCTGTTTTGTCATGTCCTTTCGACGTACCCTGTGCTGGCACATGAACGACGCGAGTCGCGATGGCCACCGCAGGCCGCTGACGCGGAACAGCGCGTGGAACACAGAGCGCTCACGCACGACCTACTGCGCGGGCAGCTCACGCGCGGCCGTCCCGCGCGGACGAGCCCCCCTGCCTGCGGGCCGCTCGCGCGGCTTCTCGGGTCGAGGCCGTGGCCGCTTTGCCTTTCGGCAGTCAGAGAAAAGGATGGGCACCTCACCCCCATGGGCAGGCGAACGAACAGCAGTGTATCGCGTGACCCAGAAGCACACGTCGCTCAAGCACAAAAGTCCTGTTGCCCCTAACAGGTATGAGATCCGACTGCTGCGGTGGCACTCCACGCAGAGCTGGCCTGGAGTGGCCCGCAACACACGCTCTGTTTCATCAATAGAATTGGAGTCTCTGGTAGCCTTCCTGGTGTACACCTGTCCATCAGCATAAGATGCCTGTAATGCCAGGGGCGGCAGAAACCTCTGGAAGACACGCTGACTGCGGGCCCACGCAGGCCGAGGCTGCGGCTACTGATGCCTTCGATATGGTGGGCAACGAATCGATGATGAATATGATCGCTTCGGAACGTACACTCGTTTTGGCAGCTTCGGCACGGAGTCGGAATCACATCAGACGGGCCGGGCCAGGATGCATCACAGCGCCATGCAAGCACCAGGCTACATCGGATCGTCGGAATACTGAAGTCGAGTCGGATCGAGCTAGCCGAAACCGATGTCGATTCGGATCGATCGGATCGAAATGATCCCAGTTTGGAGGCGGAGTTGCCCACCAGGTGGGCTGGAGGGTAAACAGACGCAGGCTCTGGAACCAACAGCGCAAGAATGGGAGGAAGGAGCCGGTGGAAGAAGAGGAGAGAGGAGGAGAGAGGAGGAGAGTAGGAGAGAGGAGGAAAGAGGAGGAAAGAGGAAGAGAAATGGGGAGACGAGCGGAGGGGGCAGGCAGGAGCACTGACCTGCTACCGCCGCGCTGGGAGTCTGATAGCGTCGGGGGGCTGGACCCAAGGCAGCGCTCGGCGAGCAGCGTCTCGGCTGTCCTCGTAGAGGTCCGGGTGGCGGTAGAAGCAGCGCTGCTCGAGGCCGAACCTGCCCGAACTAAGGATGGTCGTCAACGACGGCAACTACAACGATGCCGGTGCCAGTAATGCCGAAGTGGGGCAAAGAGAAGGCCGAGGGGGACGACGGACGACAGCGACGACGACGACGACGAGAAGAATACAATTCCAACGGTGCACATCGAAATAAAGCGAATCAAGAAAAAGCGAAGCGCCACAAGTCACTCTGACACAACGCGATGTTTCACCAGGCAGAGCAATGCGAAGCAGCACAATACAAATGCGAAGGTGGTGAGCAAGCCAATGCAGCGAAATGCGGACAATGTACTTGAGGACAGCACAACACCCACCCACGCCTCCTCCGAGTACCCCCCCTCCCGACCTGGTGATCCAGGGGATCCTGGCTTGGGGTGAGGGTGTCTTTCTGGCACCCACAAGAACAAACAACAACGAACAGTTAAAAAAAGGCTAGAGCCGGGATCAGGGCTGGGGCTCTCAAGCCCAACGACCAACCAACAAGCCAATCCGTTGGGGAACTGGCCTGCCACTCGACAGACGGACACGACGCAAAATCTCATTCAACACTTACTGCCTGAGGGGACTGCTAACACCCTCCTTCTCCTCCTCCTCCTTCTCCTCCTCCACCTCCTCCTCCTCCTTCATTCTCCCTTTCCCCCTCCGCCTCCTCCTCCTCCTCCCTCATCCTCCCTCCTGCCTCCACGAAGTAAAGCTCACACAAACTATTCAACAGGACGAGCTCGCACGGAGCGTCCCGGAGCGTGCCGGATCGGCAGCACAGGGTGGACGCCTCTACAATAGAACCATACAGGGCCGAAAACAGGGCCCCCCGAGGCTGGTCCAAACAGGCCCCAAAGAGAGGTCAAAGCAGGCCCCCACGAGGGACGCCCAAGAGGCCCAAAGAGGCCCTCAAGGCAAGAGAGGCCCCCAAGAGACTTCCAAGAGGACCCCCAAGAAGCCCCTACAGTCAGGTGCCAAATTGTTTGTAGTGAAAAATGAATGGGCATACCATGTCGGGCAAATTTTGCATCCAACGCCATGTTCTCAAACTCATTGCCTCATTTGAGTCCGTAGCCAACGCAACCGAAGACGACGGACGACGACGACGACGACGACGACGACGACGACGACGACGACGACGACAACGACAACGACGACGACGACGAGGACGACGACGACGACGACCGACGAACGACGATTAAGACAACGACGAACCACGGCGACGGCCGACGAACAACGACGACGACGTCTGGGGAAATCGAGTCGGGGTCCGTCTGGGGCGCTGGGGAGGGTTCAGTCGAGGATACATTATGGTACATTCGGGGGCTTTCATTCGAGGTTCATTCGGGCTCATTCGGATTAATTCGCGTTCATTTGGCCACAGCGGGTGGTCTCACAACCATCGGTTATTGCAGGATTATGAGACTGAGGTGGCACATTCGACTGCAACCGCCCCTCCCTTATATATTACTAAATATGACTAACAGCGGAGACCCCGTCTCCTGAGAGGGGTGGAGAGGGGGAGGGGGGGCCGCGTCCTCAAAGCGCTCCTTTCTAGAATTTTACGACGGCGTCCGTCGCGTCGTCGTCGTGGTTTGTCGTCGTTGGTCAGTCGGTCTGTCGTCGTCCGTGGGTCGTCGCCATCGGTCGTCCTCGTCGTCGTCGTCGTTCGGTCGTCGTTGGTCGGTCCGTCGGTCGCTTGGTCGGTCGGTAGGTCGGTCGGTCGGTCTGTTGGTGGTCTTTGCCGTCGTCGGTGTCTGTCAATCGTTGCCGTGTGTCGACGTCGTCGTCGTCCTTGTCGATCGCTCGGTCGGCCAGTCGGTCGGTCGTCGTCTTCGTCGATGGCTCGGTCGGTCGCTCGGACGCTCGGCCGCTGGGTCGTTCGGTCATTCGTTCGGTCGGTCGGTCGGTCGTCGTCGTCGCTGTCATTCGTCGGACGTCGCCGTCGGTCGTCGTTCGGTTGGTCGGCCGGTCGGTCGGGCGGATTCAACGGCTGTCGTATTCGTGGGCAGCTAGAGCGAGCCACGACTCCACCACGGTCTAAACGAATTAAAGCAACTAGACGGACACACCTCGCCAGAATTCTCACTAGCAGATTAGTCACCTGACTGGGCAGTCAGGTGACACTTGTTGGTAGTGAAAGTTGAATGGGCATGCCATGTCGGGCAGACTCTGGGTTCAACGCCATGGTCTCAACCTCGGTGCATCCGTAGCCAAAGCGACCGAAGACAACGGACAACGACGAGGACGAGAGGACGACGACGACAGTCGGTCAGACTCCGGACGACGACGACGAACGACGATTAACGACAACGTCGAACCACGGCGACGGCCGACGAACACCGACGACGACGTCAGGATGGGGGGTGACTCGGGGACCGTCTGGGGCGCTGGGGAGGGTTCAGTCGAGGATACATTATGGTACATTCGGGGGCTTTCATTCGAGGTTCATTCGGGCTCATTCGGGTTCACTCGACCCCAGCGGGTGGTCTCAAATTCATCGGTTTTTGCGGGATTCGGAGACCGAGGTGGCACATTCGCCTGTAACCGCCGGTCCCTTATATGTTATTCAAATATTACTAGCAGCGGAACCCCGTCTCCTGAGGGGGGTGGAGAGGGGGAGGGGGGGCCGCGTCCTCGAAGCGCTCCCTTCTAGAATGTTACCCGGCCCGCGCGTTCTAGTTCTAGAACTTGGCCTCGGCCCGTCGCAGTCGGCCTTCTACATTTGGCCTTCTAGGACTTTACGACGGCGTCTGTCTTGTCGTCGTCGTCGTCGTTCGTCGCAGTTGGTCAGTCGGTCTTTCGTCGTCGTCGTCCTTCGGTTGTCGCCATCGGCCGTCGTCGTCGTCGTTCGGTCGGTCGGTCGGTTGGTCGATCATCGGTCGGTTGGTCGGTGGTCGTTGCCGTCGTCAGTGTCTGTCGGTCGTCGCCGTCGGTCGATGTCGTCGGTCGGCAAGTCGGTCGGTCATCGTCGTCGTCGGTCGCTCGCTCGGTCGGTTCGTGGGTTGCTCGGGCGCTTGGCCGCTGGGTCGCTCGGTCATGCGTTCGGTCGGTCGGTCGTCGTCGCCGTCGGTGTTCTTCGTCGGTCATCGCCGTCGGTCGTCGTTCGGTCGGTCGGCCCGTCGGTCGGGCGGATGTAGCGGCTGTCATATGAGTGGGCAGCCAGAGCGAGCCACGCCTCCACCACGGTCTAAACGGTCTGAACGAAGGATAACTGCTAGACAACTGCTAGACGGGCAAACCTCGTCAAAACTCTCACTAGCAGAGTAGCCACAGATGCCCTCTAGAGGCCCCCAAGGAAGCCCCACGAGGCGGCGCACACGACACCCCAAGAGGCCTCCAGGAAGCCACCAAGGCGCCCCAAGAGAACCCCAAGAGCCGCCAGGCGGCCACACAGACCCCCCAAGAGGCCTCCGAGATACCCCAAGAGACATCCCAAGAGACTCCGAGAGGCATCAAAGAAGTCTCTGGCACACGGAAGCTCCCTGAACTCGCAAAGTGATGCGATGCTTCCACGAGAAGGGCAGCTCCCCTGGCCACCGTTCCTGGATGGGCTGGCGGGGAATCGCGAAGCGTCAAGAAGTCAAACTCCTTCCTGTTACGCCGTTGCACAAGCACGGTGGCGGAGTTTACCGCAGGCAGCTGGAATATGTTGAAGTGCCAACACATGCACCGTCACCAGTTCCACTAACGTCTGCACCTGAACACGCGTGTACGGATGTGTATACGTACACGCTGATGTTCCTATAAGCATTTCCATGTACCATTGGCTGACATCGTCAAGCACACGTATTTCCCAGAAGGATCGGCGGCGCCGCTGGAGACCGCAGGGGGACAAGAAGGTGGAACCATTGCGCTGGACCCTGTACGTGCCTTCCCCCCTCCCCCCGAATCCGAAGTGGGCGTTGTGGACTCCCGCGGCGCCCTGCAGCGTCAGAGGCTCAAGCTTTTGCCCTTCTGCGTGAGGAGGGCAAGCTCGACTGTCTCAGCTTGGCGCGAGGGGAAGTGAGAGGAAGAGAGGCAAGTGTGCATAGTTACGCACCGAACCTAGCCTGGACCATTCCTGTGCCCAGGATGGGCCTGGCCAGGACTGGTGTATGCGCACGTTTCTCGTCGCCCGAGGCATGGAGTCCTGGCGGACACGGCTTCGGGACCCTGGGGCTTCTCCCACGACTCTGCCTTTTCATCCCGAGCCCGCTCATGGTGATCGAAAGTGGCGACGAACTTCCGAGGCCTCTTTCCTCCAGGGATCCCATGCGGTCAGGAACCTGTGCTCAGCGTGTCGCGGCGGCGGCCCGTGCGCCGCGCTATGCCTTGCAAGCTGATGGCGTGACGCTGCGCTTCGTGGGACGGCAGGCGGGAAGGTGGACTCTCGGGGAGCAGGGCGCGCCTGGCACGTCGCGACGGGGCGTGGGGGACCAAAGCCGCGGCGCGAACCGTATCTTCGTGGCGACCAACTCTGTCTGGCATGAAGGAAACGGGGTACTAAGGGACATGAGGGAAACAGGTCCTGGAACCTGGGGCGCTCCCAAGCCAGATCTGCTTCCCCTCTCGAGCCCTCTTCTCACGGACAGTCCCAGGGCCCGTGGAAGGCACCAGGGGGCCGAGAACTGCAGAAAGAACCTCCAGGACCCATGTCGGCGTGTTTAAGAAGCTTCTCCGTTTAAGCCGTCGTCGTCGTCGCCGCTCCCCCTCAAGCTCTCCAGCCAGAGGGAAATCGAGCAACGTCGTAGTCGAGTCGCAGGGAAGCCCCTTCCCTTTGAAACCCCCCCCCGCTGGAGGGGGGGACGCGGGGCGCGGGGGGGGAGTGGGGGGTCCTGGGAGGGGCCCAGGCGGTTGTGACCCCCCCAACGCGGGGGGGGGAGCACCCTGCCCTGGAAGAAGCTTCCGGCTCCAGAGCGTCCGCGTCGTCGTCGTCGTCGTCGTCGTCGTCGTCGTCGTCGTCGTCGTCGTCGTCGTCGTCGTCGTCGTCGTCGTCGTCGTCGTCGTCGTCGTCGTCGTCGTCGTCGTCGTCGTCGTCGTCGTCGTCGTCGTCGTCGTCGTCGTCGTCGTCGTCGTTCAGGGTCGGCGGCACCAGCCGTACGTCAAGCCTCCGCAAGATAGGGGCCATCCCACGGGGCCCGCCTGCTCGCGACGATGGGCGGCACCGACGCAGCCGCCAAGAGGGCCAAGACCCCCAAAGCGAGCCCCAAGGGGGCCCCAAGGGGGCCCCAAGAGAACCTCGAGAGAGCCCCAAGTGGACCCGCCTCAAGAAAATCAGCTCTCATCGGCAGCATCTCTGAGCGGGCTGGTGGGGATACTTTTTGGTACACTGGCGCGCGAAGCGGGTCGAACGCCGGGTAAGCAGGGGCAGGCTGTGCCACGCTGGTGGGGATGCGCGAAGCAAGAATGCAGGGGCCATCCCACGGGGCCCGCCTGCTCGCGACGATGGGCGGCACCGACGCGGCCGCCAGCGCCATGGCGCCGTGAGGGCCAGGGCCCGCCCCGCCCGCGCAGGCGGGGCGGGGGGGGGCCGCGCCGGAGGGCGCCGGCAGCCTGAGGGCGAGCAGCGCAGCGACGGAGGCGCTGGCCTGGACTCGGGCTAGGTGCTCGTTCTGTGTGCCTGGCTGGAGCCCCTCGCTCCACTCATGCGTCGATGCTGCGTCGAACATCTGTCGATGTCAGTCAACTGGAGTCTACGCGGGGTCGAACTTGAGTCGAACCATAGCAGAACTAGGGAACAGATCTGCTGGGCGAGCCCCAGGAAGGTCCCCAAATCGAGCATCTAACTCGGGGGATGCTAAAGACGTCCCTGGTCCGAGGTGTCCCTAATTTTTCGCCCATCTTGGATTTGGGGGTTGCTGCGACAAGTTCGTGTCGTGGCGACTTCGACGTTGGTTTCTAACACGGCGTAAGTCGTCCAACCCTTAGCGATCGCTGAAGTCGGGGAAACGTAAGACTCGGGTTCGGGGAACTCGGGTTGGCCTGACGGGGCCGTCAGAAAAATGACGAGATCCAGTCTGAAATCTGACGCGACCTCCCGCTGCAAACACCCCACGAAAACTGGACCGTCAAATCAAAGACGGGCCCGTCAAAAAGAGCCAGCTAACCTGAATTCCGCCGAACTCGAGTCTTACGTTTTCACGATAAAGGCGCGGGAGGCTTGTTGGGGTTTCCTGGAGGTTTGGGAGGGGCTCCTGGGCCCCAAGACCCAAGAGGACACAGAGAGGGGCGGAGGAGGCCAAGAGTCCCTCCAACAACCCCCCAAGAGGCCCTTAAGAGACCTCCAAGAGGCCTTCAGTCCATGACCCAGGCACAGCTGCGGGATGGGCCTAAGGCCACTGGATCCGCCGCCCCCTGTGGCTTGCCACGGGGGTGCACGGCGTGCCAAATGTTGCAGTGGTTGGTGATCGCATGGACCTGCGGCCTAATGCGCTGGCCATCCAGAAGGGCGCGCAAGTACGCGCAAGGAGATGATAAACCAGAAAAGATCGCCTCCAAGACGGCCAGGATGGTTCCGAGATGACCTCCAAGATGCCTGCAAGACGTCTAACAGTGTCCCAGGAAAGTCCGAGCTGGTCCCAACACGCCTCCGAGACGGCCAAGATGCAAGACGCCCCAAGAGGGCTCCAAGAGGACCTTCAGGAGGCCAAAATCAACGACGCTCCAGGACGGCCCCCATAGGCCCCCAAGACCGCCACAAGACGGCCCAAGAGACCCTCAAAAGGCCCACGAAACGGACCAAGAGGGCCTCAAGACGGCCCTGTAGACCTCCAAGATGGACCTCAATCACCCAATAAGGGACCCACGACTGCTCAGAGAGGGCTCCAAGACGGCATTCGAAGGCCAAGAGGTCCCTCGGAAACCCCCAAGGGGCCCTCAGGAGGCCCATCGAAGAGGCGCCAAGAGGCCCACAATGGGCCCCCCAGAGGTCCCAAAGAGGCTCCCAGGAAGCCCCCGAGAGGCCCCCAGAAGGCCCCAAGAGGGCCTCAAGAGGCCTCTTCGTTGTCGTCCTCCTCGTCATCTTCCTCGTACTCCTTCTCTTCCCTTTCCTCATCCTCCCGTTCCTCTCCTAAGTGTCCCCCCCACGGGGTTCCCCAATGGTTGGGGGAACACACATCGCGATAGTTTCGCCAGGCTTCGGGCCAACGTTTGGCCGCGTGGGCGTTTCCAACAGGCAGCGGGCGGCGGTGATTCGCCGTAGGCGTCTTCGATACTCCTCTCACCCGTCTTAAGCCACCATGTGTGACCACGGCATTCTAGTCCATATAGGAACGAATGTCGTTGCACCGTGGCGCTGAGAGCGTGTAGCGCGAGCAAAAACTGAAACAGCCCTTGAAAGGCTGGGCAAACAACGTGTGGCGACACGGCGTGCAAACAGGCGACTGAGCCAGTACACGTGGTGCCCGTCTGAGGAACAAGTACCCTGTTGCCCAGAGCGTCCATCGACCTGCTCGAAGAAGAGACAGAGCGGGGGAGATATTGGAGACCCCCATCAAAAAACACCTGTCATATTCTCGCCCGTCCTTTCCCCTTCTCCCTAATCCCTCGCGGAAGACCACGGACGAAAGGTGACAGGGAGTGGGGGGAGCTCTCGATTGGTGGTAGACGAAGGCCTCCTAGAAATAGCAGAGGTAAAACCGTGGATTATGTAGACCGTGCCAAAGGACGGCGAAATGGCGGTGCGTCTCGTCAGGATCGCGCATCTGCGAGTGTGGAATATCCGTCTCCTCAAACTGCGTTTCCTCCTACTCACGAGGATGCAGGAGACGCTGCAACCAGCATGACTGGGCCCGAAACTGGGCACTGGGCAAGGAGAGAAGCGAGAGGAGCAGGGAGAAGGGAAAAGAGGAGAAGGAGGAGCATCGAAGGAGAAAGGGGGTCTGCAGAGGCGCCGAGAGGCCGGAGAGGGGGAACACCCGTCACTGAAGAAATGTGCAAGCACATACACACGACCATGCATGCGCACACACACACACACACACTCTGATCTGTTTACGCCGGCGGCGCAAGGGCCCTCAGGCGCGAACAGCAGGTGGAAGTGCGAACTGCGATCAAGCATCGTCGATGGCACAGTGCGCAAAACGTCGGACACTTCCAATGCATGATGCGTGGTGTGCACTGTAAGTGCAAGGGGAAGTGGATCGGCCAGAAAACGAAGGAGGCAACTCGACTCAAAGTGAACTGAAGCGCGAGCGGTCTGATGCGAATGAACGCCCACTGAATCACCGAAGAGCGATGTCAGACAATGAAGCGCGAAAACAACTTTAACGGCAGCCAGACCAGCCGCTGTGCATGACACGCTGATGCAGCACAGACCTGTAACAGATCGGCAAGGCGTAGGCCAACAAACCAAAACTGGAAAGCCGTGGCGGTGAACGGAATGTGGCCAGCTTGTAGCGAGACCACGACAGCGTAGAAACCGAGAAAAATGCGCGTCGAAATGCGACGCCCCTGTGCTCCTTCCAGACGTATACACATGCCGACAGGACATCATGCAGAATTATGGCCCACGTCAGCTGCCACGCCACAGGACTGAGCAGTCGGACAACCATGGTCGAACTGCGAGTTGACAAAGCGTGTCAAGCGCGCGGCTGCACAAGCACAACCGGCGGAGTCAGCCACCAGCCAACACCCGCCAGCTCTGTCAAGCGCGTGCAACACCGCACGCAACAAATTCAAACTGAGCAAGTGCTGCGGAGGGTCCGCCACGATTGCCACGCGCCCCTGCACAGGCACCCGCGAACGGAGGCGGACCGCCCAGCCGCCGCCACCACAGACAAAAAAAAGGAAAGAAAGCAGAGGAGCGAAGACGGAGCGAGGAGACGCGCGGTCGCGCCAACCGGCACGCCAGAAAACTGTCGGACAGCCGACCGAGCCACCCCATGACCTGCCAGACGCCGAAACCCCAGCAGCTGGGCACACTGCAGCTGACGAGGATACGCGTCAAGAGAGAGGGCGCTGGGCGCGAGAGTCGCGCGGCTGCAAACTAGCGACGGCACGGCGGCGTCGCCGCGCGAGGACTCGGCCCGCAGCCGAATCGCAGCGCCACGGAAAGCCAGAAAGCCCGCGACAACCATCGCGGAGTGTCGCGAGGCCGTCAGCGGGGCCGAAACGACGGCGCGACACCGCCTAAGGCGGCAAAGTCGCGCAAAGCCACCGGACGCACCTGGCGACGCGCGGGGCGCGCCGCGCGCCATTATGGCGTGGCGCAAAAGACGGGCACCAATGGCGGCTAACCTGCACGGCCTGCGCGCAGCGAGGCACTGGCAACAAGGCACCGAACAAAAGACGCAATGGCTCCAACAGAAAATACACACAGGCGTTACCAAACAGACAGAGCGGGAGCAAAAGCGGAACAGCGAGGCAAATGCCGCGACGTCAAGGCGGGGGAGCCGACGAATGCCGACTCCACAGCCTAAGCGGACGGGCGCGGGCAGGTTGAAACCCCCAGAACAAGATCCCCCCCCAGAATAGGCGCGCGCCACGCCGAGGCCTCAGAGGGAGCTCGCGCCCCCGACCGCAGCACGACGTCGCCTCCGCATTCTTCATCGGCCTCGCTTCCCCGTTCTGGAAAGATACTGAGCGGACCGCAGATGGGTGGGGGCCTGGGACGGATATGCAGCGGGCCACGGCAAAACTGGCACTCTCCCCCTTTCGACTTTAATTTGACGCAGAGCGGAGCGCGTTGTCCAGGCACCCAACCCCCCAAAGGAACCCCCCGCAAAGCCTGGCAAACCCTGCAGCCCGGCGACGTAGCAAGACCTCAGTCTGCACATCGCCCCACCAGCATACTGCGAGCAGCCCCGTAAAGGAGCTGATTACCTGACGCGTGCAACTTCTTAGGCAACGACGCACTGCAGTACGCCACGCGGAGAAATGACGCGGATGGGAAGGCACGCCCATGATATTCCCTGCCGGCAAAACAAGTAAGCACGCCTCCAAAGCACCCCCCACACACCGGAGACCCCTGCCTGGGCAGCCACGGTTCGGATGCGAACAGACCGGCAGCGCACCGAATCCGCAACACCAAAGGTCGATCGGCGATGCACCCGAGTTATCCGCCTGCCCGCGCAACCAGGCAGCCCATAAAAGTGTCGGCACAACAGAGCATGCACGGTCGCACTAGCCAGCGACGGCACATGGCCTCATCGGAAGCCCTGCGACTTGGAATGGCCGTGGACGGGCGAACGCAGGCAATAGAACCACCCTGGGTTTGAGCCTGGAGTAGGCTACCAGCGGCGGCCCCGACCCGGCTGGCTCCGATGGGCACGGCGCGGGCTTCTGCCCCTGTCGCGACGAGCTTTTTGCTGTCAGGGGGCAGCCACTTGAACCACGCCCGTCAAGTTGCATTCCACGTGCTCCGTTTGGAACTGATTCGCTTAAATCCGCCGGCCCACTTGTGGGGCCACCAGGCTGCAGGCCTAAGGTTCGCAGTTTCCTGTACCAGTTGCAGCTTCCAGTTTCCACTGTTACAGTT